GGGGGGGGGGGGGGGGGGGGGGGCAGGCGTGGTGTGGGTTGGGGGTGGGGGGGGGGGGCGGGGGGGGGGGGGCGGTGCAGAGGCTGAAGAGTGTAGCAGTGCTCAGTGCTCAGTGCTCTTCAAATGCTAATGCTACTACAGACTGAGGTTAATGCTGTCATATAATATGCTGGATTGTACAATAGCTGAGATATTACAATAAAAATAATGGCAGGTAAGAAAACCAAATAAACCTCAGGTACACGTTCCTGAGATGAAAAATACACAATATCTGCACTGCTAAATTCATCTGTTTTCTCTTCTAGCAGTTATATAATTCTTAGGCTGCACATAGCTGTCCTTATGGATAACTAACAGGCTGACTGTATTGATGTCATTTCCCAGGTTTATTGGTTACTGATGGATAGCTCACTCATCTTCTACGAAAAATAGGAATAAGGTATCATGAGGGATCATTAGGTTACCCGAACTGATGAGTTAACATGGTGCTATATTTACTTCAGCTGCGTGAGTTAGCTGAGGCGCTATATATACCCTCGCAGCAATGCAGTGATGATGCTATATGCCAGTTCTCTGGGCACACAGGGAGGAGTGCCCCCCCCCCCCCCAACCCGAAGCGGCTGATGCAACCAGCTGAAAATACTGTGATTGAGACGGGGCCCACTGCAGCTCATTCACTGCGGGCCTCCACTGGAGCTCTCCACCTGGCAGAAATGCAGCTGGGAAGTAGCACAGCCATCAGGTGAGATGCAGAGGGGTGCAGCACGCAGACCAGGATGCGTAGGAGGGCCCCCCACCCCTGTCACAGGCTTACTGCAGGGCTGTCCCCTGAATACTCCAGTAAACTTCTTGTAGCATAAAAGGGAAAAGTGAAAATTTGTGAAATACACAATAATAAATAGATACACTAGCACAATTCACTATTACCACCCCCCCCCATTCCACACAGCTGTATTTTTGCTGGGTTTAGAGCCCAGGTTATGTGTACTGCAGTAGACTCCAGCTCAAGGTTTGATCCACCACCTTTCAGTGTCATTGACTGCTACATAGAAACTTTTCAATTTTAGTGTATATATTCTGCTGAAGGGAGCGCCAAGTTGGAGTAACAAAGGGTGGCATCTACGTGCTCTTATCTTCACCAGAGTTGCCCAACTTAAGTAGCATAGAGCATAAAGTGGAGTAACATTATACACAAACATGCAAAGTGGGCAATTTACTGTAGAGATGTCAGCTCACCTTGCTGCAGGTTTTTTGGACTATGGAAGGGCAGTGGCGTACCCTGGGGAAACTGGTGCATCATGGGAAAAGATGCAAGCTTCACATACACATCGTACGAGTGCAGCTCAAGCCCCTGTCCCTGTATGTGAGCCTCTGTGTCATTTGCCACCCCCAGGAGATTATGCTGTAAACTAAATTGAAGTCAGCATGCTTCTGTCATTTAATTATGTTTTATGGGGAGCATTTTGTTGTGAACGTGTTGCTAGGTTACATAACTAAGAAAATCAGTGTGCAATCACTGTGATTTTCACAATCACAATAATAGACCAGGATACCAGTACACTAGGTTATCTGCAGTAATGCAATAGCTTTATAAATATATATATATATATATTTTTAATATTTATATATTTATTGCTGCCTGTATCTCCTGATTTAGCATTTGAAACACCAGAGAGAAAGGTGGGCCGAAGGGGTTGTGTCTTTAGCCTCTAGATTGCATCAGGGTTGAGAATAACACTGTTTTTTCAGTCATGTGATGGTCTGGTGCTTCTTTTGCTGTTCCGAGACCAGTGGATAAAGTGTTCTCTTCCATGCCACTGCCCCCAGAACCTGAGACACCACCCCCAAGCCCCTGAAACCCTTCTCATTCTGCCCTGTGCTTTGCATTATGGAAATGTCTCCACTTACATTGTCATAATAGCCCCTTTAAGGCTTGGTTTGAAATAAAGGAGGGGAGGCACTTGGGACTGCGGGACTGCCAGAGGTATGCTAAAGAGCACATAATATTTCCATCCCATTACCGGGCCATTCAGGCCCATTAACATGACAATCTGTCCTGAGCATAGCCTCAAGGCATGCAGGGATATAAGCATCAGTGATCCCCTCCCACAACTCAGTCAAAGTGCAGAGAGAGAGTGAGAGAGAGAGAGAGAGAGAGAGAGAGAGAGAGAGAGAGAGAGAGAGAGAGAGAGAGAGAGAGAGAGAGAGAGAGAGGGAGCAGGAAGTTATACAAGAACGACACCATAGAGAAGATCGATGAATGGAGAGAGAGATATGGCAGAGAGGAATTTAAGGGGGGGATTCGGTCGCATATGATGCTGGTATTAGTGTAAATGGTGATGATGGTTGTTTAGAAACTGAGGTTGGAAGTTCAAATCACAGAATATTTATCATGGAGAAGAAAGGACTTCGTGGAGGAAAATAAAGACCGTAGAAAGGCTTCTGGTTTCTATACTGTTTGCACTCATGTTCCTTGTTTTTTTAAAATCCCATTGAGGCCTCAGATTGATCTAATGGGGTCTCGGGCAGTTTGTGAGTGGAAAAGTGAAAAAGTGAAATTACTGTAAAATATACGTTAGGAATCATACCTCAATCTAAACTCTCAACTAGACAACTGTCATGCATCTCATGGTGGTAATCTTTTTCATGCATGAATATTCTTTTTTGTTAATTTCTTTAATAGCATTTTAATGAAATAAAAAAAAGTTTAAAAAGTTATAAAAAGTTAAAGTTTTTTAACAATTTTGGAATTTTATTGATGATTTTCTTGCACCTCTTCCTCCCTTTACATAACACAGAAGCATTAAACATATTGTCGTTATAGTCATTAAGAATCAAAATTAATTTCACATTTGAAGGAGTATTGGTCAGTTTATTATAGGAAGCAAATATATTTTTCTGTTATTTTATCTCTAGTTAGTTATATGATCAGATGAAGAAGATGATGAAGTAAATTTGAAAGCATCGACTAAAAAAGGATCACAAACAGATGGATCATTCATAAGGAAAAATCACTTTTTTCCAAAGGGTGAATATATTTGGGTATCTAAAAAATGTAAACAGTATACTGGACACAGCTGTCAGGACAGCAGTATGATCAATGGGGCAAACAGGCGGGGAGCTGAGTGCGACTCTGATCTGAAATACTCCGGGTTTTGGTCCAGCTAACGTGAAGTACACTTCATGGATTCTGGGACCTTGCTCATCTCAGAATGTTGTTTTTCTTCTTGTTTTTCTTAGCATTTTGCTGGTCTCCATCGTGCTTTGACTTGTACTGGTCCATTCTTCAGTCTGGTGCCTGCGGGCTCCTATTCACTGCTGAGTACGATTCGGATTCCTGAGTGGACCGCTCATAAGCCCGAAGAAGATGCTCCACACGGAAAAACACAAGGGCTGAAATCACCCCCTCTTTCTTAAGGAAAAAAAGACCCCTCACGTCATTTCTTTTTCTGCCCCTCTTCAGCTTTACCGAGATGGGAGGGAGTATTTCTGGTTTTTGTGTGCTGGCCTGTATTCAGTACTTGGCTGGCCTCTTTCTTCCACAGTCTTTACAGTGTTAATTCATTCCTCCCCCCGATCGGCCCTCCTTGCGTGAGAAAACCGCAGCCCTGCACAAAAACAAACCCTTCCTGGGTTCATAAATATTAATGAGCCACACCCTTCCCATTCAGGCCCTGGGACTGCTACTAAACTGGTTACTGCCATGCACACCTCCCCATTGAATCCCAGAGACTGCTACTAAACTCCTTACATGCACACACCCTCTCCATTCAGCTGCTGAGGCTTCAGCTACTGAGACTGTAACTGGTTCTCTCCCCATCTCCATTGAAGACCCGATACCGGTTACCAAAGGCGTTGCGTGAAAACGCCTCTCCGTTTACAGTCAGGCTGCCGCTGAACATGTTGCATCCAACCCTGGGTGACAGTCACAAACAGTCCAATTGCAACATAAATCCAGACTCTGAGAACAGCCCAGATAAAGGCTGCAGTCAGTCGGCACCAGGCCCCGACCCCTGGGGACGTGGAAGGTCAGAGGTCACAGGTCAGAGGTTTGCCTCAATTGTGCGTCGCTTTATGGAGGGGGGAAAAGTTCTCTCTCCGGGCCCTTTTCTTGGGTTTGTTTTCTTTGTGAGGGCCCGGGGCTGGCAGGCTTCTCTCTTAGGCCTCTGCTTTGTTCCTGCATTCTCTTTTCTTTCTCATTTTGTCCTCTTTTAGTACTTTTTGGGGATTCAAGGAGAAAAGTTCCCTTTTGATTGTTGGGCAATTCAAGACACCATTTGTGCCTTAAATTCCAAACTAATGGTCTCACTTTTTAATCCATATTCGCCAGTGGTATCAGAAATCATTGTGTGAGATTTAATAGTCTTTGAATCTGAAGTCTTTGAATGCTTATAGAATGTAAAAGAAGTGGAAAGATCGAGCTTCTGCTGTCTTCTGGTGGTCGTGTACAGCCACTCTGCTTTCTCATTTTGCATATGGACTTTCTATTTGCTAAGCTG